CAATGGTACATTTCAAAACTATTAAGAAATGAATATAATTGAGATGAATGTGTTACTTAGTTCAATGTAAACATTTCACATTGCATATTGAAGCAGTACCCTGAACTCCATAAATGCATCAATGTACAATGTTATGATTTAATAAAAAATATATATATATATAAAATAAAAAAACAAAGAAAAAGGAAAGGAAGGAGGAAGGGAGGGAAGAAAGGAAGGAAGGAAGGAAGGAAGGAAGGAAGGAAGGGAGGGAAGGAAGGAAAGGAAGGGAAGGAAGGGAAGGGCGGACCTGAAGCACTAGTTCTCTGGTCTCCACTTCTAAACTTCCACATGATATGACTGGGTACTTGTGGGAGGATAAAAACAGTTTTGAATCAAGAGTCTTGGCTTCAAATTTCAATTCTGACTCACACTAGCTTTGAGATTGTTAACTAGCGTTCCTTAACCAGTGTTTAATTTCCCGTGAGTATTTTCAAAGGAATACAGAAAACAATGTGTATAACAGAGATTTATTGAAAGTATTAAAGATAAACAATACATAAATGAAAGTTATTTTCCTGAGGCTTATTGTTACTGTTCTTGGTACTTTTTCGTTTTCTTTGAGTAGGTTTCTGGAAAAGAACAAAAAGCCAAAAATGCGATATGGATTGACTGTGGAATCCACGCCAGAGAGTGGATCTCTCCTGCTTTCTGCTTGTGGTTCGTAGGCAGCGTAAGTATTCACGTTCCCTAAGCCAAACTTTTTAAAATGGGGCCCAAATCACCTGTTTCAGAATCCATTGAGCTGTTTAGAACGTTTAGACCACTTTCTAAAATTATTGACTCAAAATCTCCAAAGGCGAAGCTTGAGAATCTACAATTTTCACAAGTTTCCCAGAGTGGCTTAAGTTTGAGAACATGACTTCAAGCATTTAAATCACCCTACATATTGTTGGTCTTTTCCTTTCTACATTTCTATCTGGGGTTGAACATTGGAAAATAATTAAGAAGTTGTATGCTAATTATAATTTGTGTGCTTTTGAAGAAAGGACTGAAGAAACTACCTAATTTGGGTCTTAATTGATTTCTTGTTCTTTTGGTTTTAAATCCAGACATTTTGGGGGCCACATTCTGCCCTTGCAAGTTGAATATAAAGTACAATGCTATAGAGCAGATCGTGTCTTCCCATATGACATAATAGGGGTTTTATCACTGAAGAAGGTTTTGGCATCAAGTGAGACAAATGGTGTGTCATAAAAGTAAAAAATATAATGACATAAATCTTGATGATAAATTAAGACAGTCCAAATTCTGCTTCAAATCCTATAAAATGGACATACACGTTCTCTACATTGATTTGTACAAAGGGCCATTGTCAGGAAAAATAACTCAGAACATGTGTCCTCCTGCTAAAGGTTATTGCAGTCTTTGTATTCACAAACACACAATAACAGAAACAGATGCATTAGGAAATTTAGAGATGGCCACTTAGATCTTTCTTCATAAACGAGGTAGATCAAGGTAAAACTCTTTGTGCCTTTCCTGGGTCTTGACATCTCAACATTCCTCCCCATCTTTATTTCCCTGACATCTTCCCTTCCTCACTGTGAGAGCAGCCGCTCCCTGAGTCTACTGGAAAGTTCCCAATCACCACTGGTACTAATTTCACTAAATGAGAATGGTTCCCAGTGTCTAGATTCTTAACACGTGCTAGTCATCTGATGATCTGGAACCTTGTCCGAGGTGGGTAGTTTGATTATTTTAGATAATGAAAGGAGCAGCAGTTGGTGGAGAAAAAAAGGTACAAAGCAGGAGAGAAAGAATATTTATTTTCCATTCCTTTGCTTAACCTGAAAAAGGACAGAAGGAAACTCCAATTCACACTGACTCTCATTTACGTTGGTGAGGTCATCTCTGATTGCCGTCCTTCTCAATGTGACCCCTCTTCCCTCTTATCACACGTCCTATCTTCTACTCCACCTACTTGCTAAATATCTGTAGGGTTATTTATTCCACAAATACTTACAAATGTTCTATGAGCAGTTTGTGGTTCTAGACCCTGGAAATATAATGGGGGAATAAGATACACCTTAAGGATCTTATACTTGGGTATTTTGCTGATGCAACCCAAATTGTGTAGCCCAAATGAAAATAATCAATAATTTTAATGAATATACAAGAGGCTCCATTCTTACCTCCCTAAAACTAATCCAGATCATCTGACTCTCATATGTCTCAAACCACTATAGGAGAAAAAGTAAAATAACATGTTTTACTCTAAAAAAAGTGTCTGAGTTGGCTCAGCGCCCACAGCACAGTGGTTACAGCACCAGCTGCATACACCAAGGCTGGCAGGTTCAAACCTGCCCAGACAACCTAAACAATAACAACTGCAAGAAAAAATAGAGCAGAGAGAGGAAGAAGGAGGGAGGAGTGAGGAAGATAATAGTAGAGAGAGGGAAGGAGGGAGAGAGGTGGGGTCTTGGTGTGTGCCACACCTTTTGGGGGCAAGACGCGATTATAAGAGGGACTTTACCTAACAAATGCTATGCAGTGAAACCTGGTTTCTTGTACTCTCAATGAATCCCCAACAATAAATTAAAAAAAAAAAAAAAAGCTGGGTGTTGTGGTGGGCACCTGTAGCCCCAGCTACTTAGGAGGCTGAGGCAAGAGAATTGCTTAAGCCCCAAAGTTTGAGGTTGCTGTGAGCTGTGATGCCACAGCCCTCTGCCAAGGGCGATGTAATGACACTCTTTTTCAAAGAAAGAAAGAAAGAAAGAAAATGTGTATGAGTAGATGTTCTATTTTAAAAGTGAGGTACCCGGCACCCAAAGGCAAATTAAAATCTTAGCTTTTAAGTCTGTCACTCCCTTTAAGAATTCAATAAGGATTTCAAACATCTTATGGTTCAGCTTCAGCCAGGGGAAATCTATAATACTTCACCTTGAGAAGCTTGAGGCTATTTCTTTCCATCCCTCTCATTCATGTCCTCTTACAGCGGTTCTCAACCTGTGGGTAGAGACCCCTTGGTAACAATGAAAATACATCCTGCATATCAGATATTTACATTACAATTCATAACAGTAGCAAAATTACAGTTATGAAGTAGCAAAAAAATAATTTTACGTTTGGGGTCACCACAACATGAGGAACTGTATTAAAGGGCCACAGTATTACTGTGTTTCCCTGAAAATAAGACCTACCCCCAAAATAAGCCCTAGCAGGATATCTATGCGTTTGTTAATGCATTTGTTAAATATAAGTCCTACCCTGATAATAAGACCTAGTGATGGGCATTTCAGTGCAGAGAGCCCCTGAAAATAAGCCCTCGTGTGTCTTCTTGAGAAGAAATAAACATGAGACAGTGTCTTATTTCCAGGGAAACACGGTAAGAGGCACTAGGAAGGTTAAGAACCATGTGACTTAGGAGGCCAAATAAGATCCATTCTATTGCTGCAAAGGCACAGGGGCTGTGACTGACTTGGGCATAGCTGCATCACCACAGCCAAAACCCAAAACAAAGTCTGCCACATCGTGGGATGCCAGTGAACAACTTGCTAAGTACTTTTTCTGCTAACTGGTTTTTCTGAACCTCTGTTCTGGAAACTTCTCATCTAAGTATACACAAAGTTGGAACTCTGCAAGCTCAGGGCCTTCCTGGAATTCTTTCCCTCTGCTGCTCCTCATCTTAGCTGACAGGGCACTTGTTAAAAACACTGCTTCATGGTAGCTCCGTGAAATAGATGGGCTGTTCTTCCTTTCACATCACCACGTGTCAGGAGGCCAGGAGGCGTGGATCAGGGTTCTTCTATCCGGACACTGCCACTGTTCTCCTTCTCTGAAAAGTACATAATCTGGTTGTACTCTTACCCTTCCTTGTTGCTATCATACATTGACCTGCTGATAATTTCCTGGTATCTGGGATGTGATTTTTTGATCATTCTGAGTGAATTCCAAGTCCATTTCCAAAAGTCATCAAACAAAACATCTTCAAAGTTTCTTAGTCTCTGATCTTCTAAACCTTACCTCAAGTCCACTTTAGCAAATTTCTCCTATGGCCAGGCTCTGGACCCCAGAAGTAACATTTTCACTGATTTTTAGATCCAGAATATGGCCACAGGAAAGACAGAAAACACCTAACAATCTGATTTCTTAACCTCTTCTCCTTCTGTTTCTCTCATCCCTCACACCTACTATGACTGTCTCTCCCCATGACGCTACTTTAGAGGTTTCCAGTCCCTGGATAAATCTCCATCCTTCTAACTTATTAGCCCCTTCACAGGAAGCTCTTCCTTCACCAGCTGCATTGGTCCCATCACAAACTCACCTGAACTCTCATTTTCCTGCTCCCTTGACCTTCCCTTCAAGAGACCTGACCAAACATCTCACATAATTAACCAACCTTTTGCTGAACCACCAGGTGCACTCTGCTATTATTTACAAAGTGACATTGAATTGTTGCTCTTCCCTTTCCAACTTATCACTAGTATTAGCTGTTTGAGGGCAGTTACCACCTCTAAAACTCAGGTGGTTCCCTGTAACCCAGTATATTGTTTAGTCCACATAGTTGATGCTCAATTCCCTGTTGTGGAATTTGCAACTTAAATTAATGCTCTAGTTTTAGGCTGAACTGCAACTCTGGGTTTCAGAGAGTACCTGAACAGTACCTACTGTTAGGTTAAATTCTTCGTTGTCCTTAGATAAGGTCCAGATTATACATACAGACATAGAGATCGGAGCAAAAACTATTTTTGCTATATTTCTAACAGTAATGAGAGTGACATTTTACTTTCAAATCTTCCACAGTATCTTATACATCTTCATATACCACTTTATTCTCTGTCAAATGGTTAGCGGTTAATTCCTGGGTAAGGATTATTGTCGTTCGGGGCCATATTAAAGACAAAAGAGGCTCAGCGCCTATAGCTCAGCCGCTAGGGCCCCAGCCAAATACACTGGAGGTGGTGAGTTTGAACCAACCCTGGGCTTGCTAAACAAAATGACATCTACAAAAAAAAAAAATAGTCTGGCATTTTGGCAGGCACCTGTAGTCCCAGCTACTAGAGAGGCTGAGGCAAGAGATTCATTTCACCCCAAGAGTTTGAGGTTGCTGTGATGCCACAGCACTCTACCAAGGGTGACAAAATTAGACTCTGTCTCAAAAAAAGACAAAAGTTTTATTGCACCCTAGGTAAAGAGCGAGGAAGAATTGGGATTGGGCAATCTTTGGCCATCGGCCCAGCTGATAGGAATCAGTCAAGTCATTCTCTCCTACCCTCTCATTCCTCACTTGTTTTTATGCTCTGCTCCCTTCCCCTCTATTCTCATCTTTCTTCTTTTTCTTTTATACAGCTGCTCCTCAACTTATGATGGGGTTCTGTCCCATTAAACCATTGTAAGTTGAAAATATTCTGAGTCAAAAATGTCTTTAATACATCTAACCTAACCTAACATCATAGCTTAGCCTAACCTACCTTTCCTGTGTTCAGAACACTTACATTAGCCTACAGTGGGGCAAAATCATCTCTACAAAACCTTCTTTATAATAAATTGTTGACTATCCTACATAATTTATTGAATACTATACCACAAGTGAAAAGCAGAAGGGTTACATGCGTAACTGTTCAAGAAACAGTTTCTACACTGTGTAGAAACTTGATGATGTGTATCACTTGGCATCATCATAAAGTCAAACAATCATTAAGTCAAACCACTTTAAGTTGGGGACCATCTGTCATAGGACAGTGATTTCAATTATGCCACTTGCCTTTGTTAATAAATCACACTTTCAACAAATAGTTATTTATTACCCTTTCCATGTCACTGGTAAGTCCTTCAGCTACTTTGGAAACATAAGGAGATGCTGTGTCAATAAAATAAGTTAATTAATTAATTAATTAATTAAACAAAATGGTGAATTTTCTGGTATGTAAATTATATCTCAATAAAGCTATTAAAAAATAGGCACCCTTCCTCTGGGATTGCAGCTATAGCCACACAGGAGGGGAGGGTTGGCCCATAGCTCAGAGTGCATTTCAACTCTCATCACCCCTTCTGTCTTCAGTCCTACTTAGTTGATGAGTAAATTCTGGGGCTAACATTCACCATCTCTCAGAGGCTAACGTTTTGCAGAAAGACTCTCACCCAATTAGAGGTAAAGATAAGAAGAAAATAAGAAAAGTGAAGCAGACAAAGAAACTCATCTTGCCACACCTATTAAAAGTACAGCCAACACTGTAGGAGTGAAAATGATGAATGCTTTATTATTCTGAAAGTAATAGGCCCTTTTACTATTTTCCTAAAAATGAAAGCTACATTATTATTGGAAAAATGATGCCAACATAAATTTACAAATTTGTGGCATAAAAATCTATTTAACTGGTTGTTCAACTACTTAAAGGACAGCGTCTGTCTATAAATTTTGCATTCTTTTCATAAAGCTTTTATTGCTGACCTATAGTAGATTAAAAAATGACTTGTACTTTTTCTTTCCTTTCTTTCAGATTTCATAAGCGTTTATTCATGGCAAAGAATTTTAATATGATTTGTGATTGTTTTAGGGAAACATGAATATAATATTTTAAAAATTAAAGGTAAAATGGTAAAGTTTTTGCTACAGATAAGGTAGAAGTTAGAAGACTTATTTTTGTTAATAATAAAAAAACTCCTTAATAATATCTTTTGAGTAAACTTTAAGGTAACAAACAATTGTAAACGCAATTAGATGTTTAATTAAACTGTAATCAAATTAAAATGTAGCAATATTGACACAAATGAAGATTTTGTTTTTTGAGACAGAGTCTCACTTTGTCACCTGGTAGAGTGGTGTGGCATTGTAGCTCACAGCAACCTCAAACTCTTGGGCTCTAGCTATTCTCTTGCCTCAGCCTCCCAAGCAGCTAGGATGACATGTGCCTGCCACAAAGCCTGGCTATTTTCAGATACCAGGCCAGTTTCAATTTCCTCAGTTCAAGCAATCCACCTGCCTTGGCCTCCCAGAGTAGGGTGACCAGACGTCCCACTTTTGGTGGACAGTCCTGCTTTTCAACAATTTGTCCCGGTCCCGGGGCATTTTATAAAAGTCCCGATTTTTGGAAAGAATGCACAAACAGGCATGAGAACAGGAAGGGAATATACAGTTTTCGGCTGCCATGTGGCTATTTCGCCAGAATATGAGTTTTATATTATTTTTGTTAATTTTATAATGTTAAACTGTAATAATAAATAATTGTTGAGAAGTGATTATCGAGAACTGCTTATCAAAGTTTGCATTGTTGTCAGGCCCTGCCCAGCCCGGTCCCTTGCCCCGTCATTTGCCCAGCCCCTCCCCCCCGGCCATGTTGTCCCGCTTTACAAATGTAAAAATCTGGTCACCATATCCCAAAATGCAGAGATTACAGGCATGCGCCACCTCGCCTGGCCACAAATGAAGATTTTAAATCAAAGTTTAGTCCTAGATGAAATGACTTAGCCAGTTAAAAATTGTCTTTGTGGTTTTTCTGCCTCTATATTTGGTCATTTGGGGGGTGAACTTCTCAGTCACTAGAATTTGGCTGCCTCTGGATCGTATAGAAATATGTACTCCTAAACCAAGGATGACTCTAAAGCAGAGAAGAGCAAGTTTCAGATCATGTGTCTTAGGGGCTCGTAGCTGGTACCTAGGAAAAGTCACCTGTGCTTTTAAAACGAAATGACCATATACATGGGAAATGCACTTGAATCTAGAGAAACCTGAGCTCCACAACAGGTTCTAAGGACAATGTTGAAAATATCATCTAACCATGTCTGAGATAGGACAAGGTTAGTTTAAGTTCTGATTAATATGGACTATTTTAAAAGGAGCTAAACTAAGTCTAGATTTTTATTTCCTTAAATCTTTGTAGTGGGCATTCTGACTCTAATAAAGACTTTTTTTTTTTTTTGGCCAGGGCTGGGCTTGAACCTGCCACCTCTGGTACATGGAGCCAGCACCCTACTCCTTGAGCCACAGACACTGCCCTAATAAAGACTTATTTGTTGTTTCTTAAGGAAAATATCGGAAGTTTATGGTTCTATCTTCTGCCTCCGTTAAATAGGAAGACTGTTAGGAACACGTGCATGGCATTATCCCCACTTGGTAGCAGAGCACCCTAAGTTCAGTCCTTTGAGGAATTCATATTCTTCCTGAAAGATAAATCTGCAAATCTAAACCTGCCAAATGACTTTTCAAAAAAATGGACTAAGCTAAGAAAAACCTAGATGTAATTAAATGTATTTGATTTTATTTGTAGGTAACCTATTTATATGGAATGAATGAGAGGTATACCGATCTTCTGAATAACGTGGATTTCTACGTTATGCCACTGATTAATGTGGATGGTTATGACTACACATGGAAAAAGGTAGGTGAAAGGCAAAGAAGAGAAAACGTGCTTGCTTTGGGAATATAGATTGAATGCAGGTTTAGTCATTCATAGAATTCTATTATCTTATTATAATTTTTAACTTATAATATGCATAATTTAAGACATATGTAATAGTAGGCGCAATTGTATAGTAAACACCTGTATACCCATCCCAAAGCTTCGAAGATAATTAACTCATGGACAATGAGTTAATGAGTTGTGTTTCATCTGATTCTCTACCCACTTCTACCTTACCCATACAATTTTAAAGCAAATCCCAGGCACTATATCATTTCATTAATAAATATTTCAGCATCTTTTAAAAAAATTCTGAATAAAATAACTATCATGCAATTATACTTAAAACTAACCATTTCAGAATATCACAAATAACCATTCAGCATTCAAATTTCTAATTGTATCATAACTTTTTAAGAAGTTTGTTTCCTCAATTCAGCATCTAAATAAGGCTCTTATACATTCTGATGGATTTATATGCCTCTAATTCTATTTCAATCCATAGAGTTTCTCTCCCATCTTTGCTCTTTCTCTCTCTTTTCTGTCTTGCAGTTTATTTGTCAAAGAAAAGAGCTTGCCACTATTTGGATTTGCTAACTGCACTGTCATGTTGTAATTTAACATATTCTTTGGTCTTCTGCATTTTCTAGCCTATCAACCTCAGGATTCATATAAAATTAAGTGACCTGAAAGTACAGCCCTTTCAAATCTAATTAGGACCCTCTAAAAACATAACTGAGTATATATAAATTTAGAAAAACCTACTTAAGTAGCACATATAAATAGTAAGGAGGTTGAGAAGAGTTGGAGTGACTGGAAACATATGGGATTATACAGGAATTGTGTCATGTAGAAGGTAATTATGCAGAAGAAGTAGAAATGGTGAAGGAGATTGATGAAAAGGTCATCTTTGGTGAGAGAAATGCAGGAGGCCAAAAAGTTTGTAAGTGAGGGTGAGCAAATGCCAAACTAAGTAAAAGAGAATTACCTTATTAGCATAATCCCTAACCCCAATTTAGTATTCAATGAATGACCAAATCAATAAACTGATATTATAGTAAATTTTTGTTTTAACTCGAATATAGTGGAATTCAGTCACTCTGTAGATGTTCACCTGCCTGAAGGGCACTATCTTTTGTATCTTTACCAATTATGTCCTATAGTTTGAGAACTTGATTTCCCCAAGGGCTAGTGTTGCTACCAAGCCACAGGCCTGGGGGCGGGGGTGGGGAAGGCTCAGAGGCCCAACATAGGGTTGGTGGGAGTAGGAGAAAAGGGGGCTATGTCATCCCAACCTCGGAAGTTAAATGAAGTCTGTGCAACAGTTTATGTGATCAAACTTCCCAGTTTGTCCCTGAGCCCAATGGAGAACTTGCATGATGTTTAAAAATCAGTGTCAATGGTGGAGGTGGGGGAAGGGGAGAGCAGAGAGAGAAAAGGAGGGAGGGATAGGGAAAGGAAGAGCAGAGAGAGGGAAGGAGGGATGGGGGTGGGGTCTTAGTGTGTGACACACCTTTTGGGGGCAAGACACAACTGTAAAAGGGACTTTACCTAACAAATACCAGTGTAACCTGGTTTCTTGTACCCTCAATGAATCCCCAACAATAAAAAATAAAATAAAATAAAAATCAGTGTCAAATCAGTACAATTAATGGAGCCACCAGGCTAGTGGTGTCTTCACATGTCCACCTCCCCTATTCTTCAGAGCATTGAATTCAATCTAAAGAGACCACTAAAACTCATGACTCATGGTGTTGAATCAAGACAGAGTTATTTTGATTTTCTTCTAAGGAAGAAAATTAATTTTATGACCCTGTGCATAAAATTAATTTAAGGGAAACAAACTAAACAAGAAGGTCCATAAGCCCCTATTGGAACCAAATGAAATTTTAATTTGTATAGGTCAAAACTAATCAAATACAGTAGAACCTCTGTACCTAGACCAACCAAGGAACTATAACAAATTGATCCACATACAGAGGTGGTCAACATAAGGAACTAGGCCTACTGTACTGATATGTACATGTCGTACATGTCTGGCCTGTGAAACTTAGGTCAACTACAGAGATTCTACTGTCTTAACATTTTATTTGGTTCAAACTAAAATAGTTTGAGAGGATGTGATTGAGACCTGGATAGAAATGGGGGCCTTGCAAAAGGATTACTGTGAAGACTGCAGTAGGATAAAGCCATCCAAACAATGGGGTCGAAGGAAAGAAATGTAACCCTGGCTGCTAGGACTTTCAAAGTCATATCTCTTCTTGAGACCAAATGTGACCATGCTGGTTGTCTGTTCATGATTTGTTTATGCAGGATCGAATGTGGAGAAAGAACCGTTCTCTTCATGGGAACAGTGGTTGCATTGGAACAGACCTGAATAGGAACTTCGCTTCCAGACACTGGTGTGGTAGGTTGTTTGCTTTATGTTTTGCACTGTCATCTCATTGTAAGGGTGATGCTCATAGAGAAAGGCTCATGAATTCTAATTAATTGCAGGGGAGGCCTATGTCCATCAGGGGATAATTTAAATAATGAATGTTTTAGGTAAATGTAATGCTATGAATGTTGACTAAAGTCAGCAAATCATTTCGACCACTGGTCTCTGCCTCTCACTGTTAAAATGAGGAGGTTGGATCAGTTCTTTAAGGTCCCTTGAAAGTTCAAAATTCTGAAAGTCTATTATCCAATCGTCATAAGGAAGTGACTTATTAAAAGTCCCACTTTAATAAACACCATTCATTATTAGGAAATGGAGAACCCGAAGTGAGGAAGCTTCTCATTTTTTTATTATTCTCTTTTATTAAATCATAACTTCGTACATAGGCTGCTCATTTTTAATTGCCCAGGTAAATCTACTTCTATGGTGCTTGAAAATAGTTTTCTTCTGTTTTCACTATTCACTTTTTAAAGTTCTTTATTTCATAAGTAATATATAAAACATGTAATGAAAGGATACAAAAATAATCTAAGAACATAAAAATAATGAAAATATTTTAAAAATGTATAAAGGTAAGCACAGTGGGAATTTATATTCCTTAATTTCAATGAATTAAAGCACACAGCCAGTGTTGGTTTAAGTAGCCAAGAACAGTTGCTCTCTCATCATAGTGCTACAAAACAAAACTATTTAGAACAATGAGCTTGCATCATCTACATTTTTGTGAGTACACATGGCTCCGTGGGAACTATGATGGAAATAAGCCATTGTACCCACAGAAACATCTTCTTCTCAATCCTTTGCTCTATGTGTACGTGAACCTACATATTTCTTTTAAAAGAAGTAAAAATTCATGATTTTGAACATTTCACCAATATCAAAACTTCACCACAAAGTACCTATCTTATTTCTTCTCCTCTAAGTTAGAAAACTCCGTGCAGGTGGGAACCATTGCCCATACCTGGTGCAGTGCCTGGAACCTGGAGGTTCCTCATCCAATATTAATTAAATGATTCTGTGAATGAATTTAGTTGCTCTAAGAGCTACAGACACAGTAGGAACAGAGAAGAAGGAGCAGATAGCCCTGACTCGGGCTCGAAAGAATCATGTAGTGGTTTTTCCCTGAGAGTCACCTTTAAGATTGTCTAATAAGGTGCTCGGTGAGACCCTCTGTTCTGTAGTACTATGAAATACAATATCACAGGAGGGGCAGGAAGAAAGGGTGGACTGACACCTACCTCCTGCTGTAGCTCTGAGAACTAGCCAGGGATACACAGAAGCAGCAGCTAACATGAAAAAGACCTGGATAAGTAGAGCTGACAATTACTCAGCCCTGAGCTGCTTGCGTACTTCATCTCCTAGGTGTCATTATCTACTTTTCATAGACGGAGAATCGCAGGCTTAAAAAGCTTAAGTTCCTTCAAGGGCACATAGGAGGCGGCAGAGCTGGGACATAGAGCTGGACTGAAATTCTTCTGATGTCTGACAATAATTCTTTACTTGTAATTCCTTTTGGAACTTCTTATTTTATCTTCAAGCCCTTTGGGTGCTCAATTTCACTTAAGCTTTTTCTTGACAAAGTCCGTGTTATCGAATTGGGATAGTCAAGTAGTCAAAATATGTTGTTATTGTCATCAAGAAATATCTCAGATCCCTCTTAGGTATGGTGCTGTGTTATTACACATGACAAGAATAAAAAACAAGCAACAAACCCAGGCAAGAGAAGCCTAAATAAAATAAAGGGTAATGGTAAGAAACTTTTTGCTGAGTGCCCCAGCATCTCTTCAGTACTATGGAAGACAATGAAAGAAAATTAAATTTCATCTCTTGTCCCTACATTTACGATGCTTTATGTAAAGGATCTTAAAAAGCACCTCATATATTAACAGGAAGTGACAGATCAAGCCTTACATATTTTAATGCTCATTTTACCTTCCGTCCATATTAAAGTGTGTTTGTGTTAGAGACGAGATTGGGGGCAAGGAGGATGTGGAGGTGGCTAAGTCTCCGCAGGCTTCTGTAACAAAATACCACAGTCTGGGTGGCTCAAATAACAGAAATATAATTTCTCACAGTTCTGGGGGCTGAAGTTTATGATCAAGGTGCCAACAGAGTGGGTCCCTCCTCAGGTCTCTCCTGTCACCTCGCAGATGGCTGCTTTCTCACTTTGCCTTCACATGGGCAATTTTCCCTGTACACATCCCTCCCTGGTGCTTCTCTCTCTGTGCTTACCCCCTCCTTATGACTTCATTTAACCTTGTCTCTTTAAAAGCCCTGTCTTTAAATACAGTCACACTAGGGCTTAGGGCTTCAACATATGAACTTCGAGGGGACACAGTTCAGTCCCCAACAGAGGGCACACAATCCCTAAGACAATGCCACTCATTTCCAAGTTATACTACGAAGTTTTCACAACTGGCATGCAATGGAAAACTCTTTATTTCTTTTCCTATGAGATTGTTCTGTTTTTAAAATTATTTTTATTGTGATACAGCATGTATAACATTTGCCGTTTTAACCATTTTTAATTATACAGTCCAGTGTTACCGCTTACATTCACAGTGTTGCACAACCATCACTATTATGTTTATCTCTTTCCAAAATGTTTTATCGTCCCAAACAGAAACTCTATAGCCTTTAAGCAATATCTCCATACTTGCCCCAGGCCTTGGTAATTTTTAATCTTTCTTTCTCTATGAATTTGCCTATTATAATTTATAGTGCTCTTGACTCCATATCCATAGATCGAAGAACGATTAAGCTGAGAGGGACCTGGTAGCCCAAGTTCCTCCTGGTACCGATGAGGCCCCTGAGACTCAGAGAGGTGAAGTAGTTTGACCAAACTGACATGGCTACTTAATGGCAAAGCTCAGTATCAAACTCAAGTTGTCTGCCTTATTAGGACTCTAACATGCTTGAAATCTCTAGACTGTCAGTCACAGAATGAGAATCTGAGGCTCACTGTCCAGTAGCTGCTAACTCCATGTGGCCTGTGGAGCACCTGAAACATACCTTTTCTGAATTGATACATGAGGTCAGTGTAAAATATACACCAGAATTTGAAGACTTGGTATGAAAAAAAGTAACAGAAAATATTTCTTTTTCTTTCTTTTCTTTGGAGACAGAGTCTCACTCAGTAGAGTGCCGTGACATCATAGCTCATAGCAGTAACCTCCAGCTCTTGGGCTTAGGTGATTCTCTCGCCTCAGCCTCCTGAGTAGCTGGGACTACAGGCGTCTGCCACAATGCCCGGCTATTTTTTGTTGCAGTTTGGCCGGGACTGGGTTCGAACCTGCCTCTCTTGCTATATGGGGCCAGCGCCCTACCCACTGAGCCATAGGCGCCACCCAGTAACAGAGAATATTTCATGAAAAATGTTCATATTGGCTC